CTTGCAACAATATAATAGGATAGTTTGTTACTCTGTATAGTTAGAAGTTTTTACCTGGTTAGCAGGTTTTTTTCTTTTTAGTGATAGTTTCTTTTAGATTTTATTTTTGTTTTTGTTTTTAGTTTCTTTTTATATTAGTACCTGTTTTCATATATGTATTTGTTTTTTATATATTCTTCTTTATATATCTTTTTTTTTTTTTTTTCTTCTCTATGAGAAAGTGTTATCAGATTGGTAGCGCTCTATTGTAGACGGGACTTCTGACGAGGCTAGCTATACACCAGTCATTGATTCTGGAGAAAAAAAGTCCAAAGTAAGTTTTGGACCTCTGGAGAAGACCAAGTGTAGTTATAGCAGGTCATGTCTAAGTACAACATAGCAGTTAATAGTTCGCTATAAGCTTGTATATATAAAACTAGATAAGATTTATCTTTGGTTAAGATAGTATAGCTATTAAAAATAACAACACCTATGTTAAAACTTTCAGTTTTTCTCCAAATAAAGTAAGCCAAATTGCCTAAGGAAAAAAAAAAATTATTAGAAAAACTATAAAACTTTTTATTATTTTTATTATTATTGAAGAAACTCTTATTATCAAAGTTATCATTATTAAAAGATTCTTTATTATTATCTTCATCTTTAGTATCTTTAATAGATATATTAATTTTAATCTTTGGTAATTTTAAATCTTGATTATTTTCTAGAATATTGTTATATATATACATGCTACCAAAATAGGTTTTTAAAAAAACTCTATTTTATCTTCATTAGAGCAAATTAGAATTTTTTATATGCAAGAGCAAATCTAACTTAAGTAGTTATGTTTTTATAATTTTGGCTCTTCAAAAAAAATATCAAAAAATTTTGTTTTTTAAGTAAAATAGATTAAAAACAATTTCGTCTTCAAATTTTAATTTCAGGTTTTAGACCCAAAATAATTTTGTCAGTATGTATAATTATATACTAGATTAGATATATATTGGCAGATTGATGGAATTAGGCTCTGCTAATCTGCAAATAATCACATGCTAATTAGATAAAATTAAAAAAAATGCTACATCAAATTTGTTTTCCCACCTAAAAAAAAACAACAAAACAAATGTCAACTCATTTCTCCTATCCAAAACCTATTTCTTTTTTTTAGGAAATAGTAGAAAGTACTTGAACATAGTAATAAAGACAAAAATATGTAAAAATTATTATATAGAAATATAATAATTCAAGATTTATTATTCAAAGTATATAAAATAAGTTATTTTGATTCATGAAAATGTGTTTTTGTATTTGAAGTTATTATATTTATTATAATATTTAATTAATTTTATTTACATTTATTTATTTAGATCAATATTTAACTAAAATAAATTATAGTTAAAATTTTAATCAAACGTATATTTAAAGAGGTATTATATTTAGAAAGATAAAAATCTATAAGAATTATATTAATTGGGCCTGAGTGAAGATATGCAATTAGGGGCTGTTATAGGATATGTATTTAGAGAATGTATTTAGAGAACATATTTAGAGGGGTCAGACTGCATTCAAGTTTATGTAAAAGCTTGATCCTATCATAAAATAAAAAAAACAAATATTTTTTATATAGCTTTTTTAAATATTATATTTTATCAAATTAAAATATATTATCAATTTACTTGAATGATATTAAAAATATTTTTTAAAATATATTTTTTTATTATAAATCATATAAAATTACAAATATTTAAAAAAGTTTTGCAAAATTAATTAGAATTTCCCGTAACTATCTAATTAGCTTGTAGAAAATATAAAATTAATATTATTTACACTATCATACGCAAGATTGGTATAAAGCTAAACTGCTATCACCCCAGCATACACATAGTCTAAAATGTTTTTAGTTCTTTATAACCTACTAGAGTTAATTCACCATTTGTATATTGATATATTTTTTGTAAGGCTTTAAGTGCTAATAGTTTAGCAGATCTGGAAAGACTACCAGTTTTGAAAACCAATAATGGGTCTATAGTCAACAATCATATATACAAAAAAAACAATACCCGTCAAATAAAAGCATCTGACATATACTATATATTCCATTAGTATTTCTCATCTCTGCCGTTTTTTTTGATAATAAATGAATACTTTGTGTTTATTCTTTTTAATTTCAATTCCATTTTGATAACAATACCCTGTATTATGTAGTTTATTAGCATTTACATTTCACCTGATTTGTTTGATAGTAAATAGAATACCTTATGTTTACTTTTTTCAATACCAATTCTATTTTGAAAACAATATCTAATATTATATGCTCTACTAGCGTTCAAATTTTGTCTAATTTGTTTGTTATATCTTTTGTTCACCTTTTTTAGCTCGATTAATATCCAACGTAATATTCTACTAGCATTCATACTTTACCTGGTTTGTTTGATGATAAATGGAATGCTTTATATTTGTTTTATTCAAATATCTAATATTATGTATTTCACTAGCGTTCATATTTCATTTGATTTGTTTGATAGTAAATAGAATACCTTATGTTTGCCCCTTTTTAGCTCCAATTCTGTTTCGATAACAATATTCAACATTATGTATTCCCTAGTATTTATATTTCATTTGATTGTTGATATTAAATAGAATAAGTTATATATGCTCTTTTCAACTCTAATTCCATTTAATAACAATATCTAACGTCATGTTTCACTAGAGTTCACATTTTAGCTGATTTGTTTAATAGTAAATAGAATGTCTTAAGTTTGCTTTTTTCAACTCTAATTTCACTTCGATAACAATATCCAACATAATGTATTCCACTGGCATTCACATTTCGTCTGATTTGTTTAATAGTAAATAAAATATCTTATGTTTGACTTTTTTAACTTTAATTCCACTTTAACACTTCGATAATAATATCCAACATTCTGTGTTCTACTAGTATTCATATTTCATTTAATTTGTTTGATAGTAAGTAGAGTGCCTTATGTTCACCCCTTTCAATTCCAATTCTATTAATAACAATATCCAACTAGCATTCCTTATTTCTTGATTTATGGAATTCTTTAAGTTTATTCTTTTCAACTCCAATTCTATTTTGGCAAAATGATAAATGAACGGTATGAGTATTATATATATGAGACAAGCAATATAGGATAGTTAATTAAAATAAAAAATAAATTGAAAAAAAATTAGCTCACTTACTGAGATAAAAGGTTAAAATAATAAAAGTTAAACATATAAACTTGAATTTATTTGAATACACCAAAGGAAAACAAGAAATTGGATTTTCAAAATCTGGCTCATGAAAAATCTGATCAGTGATATATATGATATGTGATTATATTTTATATATGTTACCATCAAGTTTTTAAAAGACCAAATCTGATGAATTATTTTTTAAATTATGAATAT